CATTGTGGCTGATCACTTGTGCATGCTCGTTCATCCATCTATCCACCCCTCCATCCCTCCATTCCCCATCCATCCATCCATCCATCCATCCCTCATCCATTCATCCGTCCGTTCGTCCGTCCATCTGTTTCACGACCAATAAGAGAGGAGACACGATGCCATTTACTGCTGAAAATGGTGATGGCGCACGTGGAGAGGGTGAAGGAGAGGCTGGTTGACTTCGATGCCAGTGACTTGCTAATGCTTTGAGTCAGTTCTGGCAGGCAGTTACTGCTGTTTGCGTTGTTACTGTCGCTGTTGTTGGTATGGCTGTTGGCACACTGACTGTGACTGATTCGGTGCACTGAAGACAGGCAATTCTTCATGCATCCCATTTGGATGATTGATATGTGGTGCTCAACTTTGGAGACCCCTCCAATGGAACACGTTGGGCTATGGCGTGTCTCATTGATTAGAACTTTGATGAAGGTTGGGAGATTGGGCACGTAAAGTGGAGTTGGGTGAGGTGTGTTGGGAGTGCACATTCAGTTGCAACAGATTGGACTGAAATTTGGGAAAACAACGGATTGAAGATAATTGAAGGCCCACAGTGGCCACAATGAAGTTTACCGACCTAATTAACTATCCAATATACCCTTTAGTACTTATAAAAATAGCACACATTTAGGTGAACCATGCAAGCTCTAACAATTTATCCCTTTTGGTTACTTCAAAACTCATGTAACAGTTGCTGTTGTCTCGAACTCGACCCTTGCCAATCCTCACAATCCTTGTATCTTTGTGTGGATTGCTAACGTACTTTCCACTTTGCGATTAGTTGTTTCCATTTTTAAACACTTTCCTCGCCTTGCATCTCCTAAAACGAACACATTTCCTCAAAGCACCTATTGCATTCAATGCTGCTTTTAAACTTGGTCGCAATTGCTGCTAACGATATGTCTTACTACCACCATATCTACCACATTTGGGTTGCATATATTGCCAAGGCAATTGCTGATTTTGTGAGTACCTACTAACACCTTTTGTAACCAAATGTCAGCATCACATTTTAAACAGATTGAAAACATGAATAATGGTTGGGTGCGACATTTGCATGCTCATTAGACCAGCCTTCATGTTGAGTCACGAAACAAAACTGTGGTTTAACTCTAATTCTTTGCCACATATCATTATTTTCCTGAAAAATAATTGTTATGGTGGCATTTCAAATAGTCCGTGCGCCTGTTATCTTTGACACCTCGAGCCTGATCATCACTCAGAACAGGCATTTTTAGTCCGCAGTAAAGTATGTAATTTTCTCTCGATACTAAAATGTAACATTGGCAACAAAGGAACCAAACGAGCATTGCTTTATGATTCCAATTTGTCAAATTTTCTTGCCCTGTGCACAAACTACTGCAGTGTTTAAATGGAAGTATGCTGCGGAGCATGAGTTACACGTTGTAAAGACTAGCGGTTTCATGGTCCCTTTTTGAGAATTCGCCCTCCTTCTATTCCACTGTGAGACATGTTGCGGTGTTATTTGCAGGGGTTTTGAAGTGACTAGTCAAGGTAGTCTTGTATACTTATGAAGGTGGGTTTAGTGCCACAGGGCCCATAGCCGTATTTATTGAGTACCACATACTTAATAATAAGAGGGTTTGACAGCCACGCATTCTCATGTGTACCACCAGAGTACGCTTTTCTTTTTTAATACCTCTCGAAAGCCATCTCATTTGGTTTGGACAATATTCTCCAAAGGATGAAAAGCACATTGAGACTAGCAAAAAATTGCGTTCGCAAGTTGAAAATTTAGTGTTTGAAACGCATATAGCAGTCCAAAGTACTCGGTGCAAGCCTGAACTTAATTAATGGGTTTGAACCATGCACAACATTCATATTAATGAACATGTGACACCTAGGCGTTTTGAAGAGTACCCTGTGCTTCGGTTGATACCTCAGAGTTATGTAATGATCAAAGCAATGAATAGGCTAGGATCGAGATGCCTTTTGTATGATTAGTGTTGCTGTCTGATATCAAACATTCATCGTTGAGTAAATTTATCACTTACTGCACTCCTGACCGTAGGGTCTTGTACGTCCTTATTTATGCCTGAATTCCTTCAACTACATGTTCCTGTTTCTTTTTAAATTATGCGTTATGTCTTCAGGGCTGAAATGACAGCCTAAATCACCGTTGCATCATAGCCTTACTTTACGATGCAACTTAGTTGTAATACGAGGTCTGACGGACGAGATGCCAATATTCTGCTCAATTTTCGAATTTTAAGCGGATCCTTTTAGCCATGAGTAGTCCTATTTAACGTGAGCTTTTTTTGCAAGTAGGTTATTCATTTATAAATAAGGCTTATGAATGTTGACATTTTGAAGATTTCCCAATTTCTACCTTTAATTAAGTGCACAGACAACTGTGCTTCCGTGGGTCGAGGGACTTATGGCGGACACTTGGCTTGCATGTTAGGAGGTGCGGAGATCCCATCACATCATTGTGAACAAATGACTAAACCGGATATCACCTGTGAAAACCCCTTTTGTCGGGCTAAGTGGGAGGTCTCCGAGTGGTCCAAGGTTAGTGCTAGTTTGATAGTCAGTACCTGTCAGATTAGCTTTGTGTAGTGTGTCCAACTATAAGTCATAGACTGTACTGAAAAGTTCAATTTTGGGGTAATTCGTTTTTAGTGCTCCGTATCTTGTGGAGGAACAGGATACCAGTATCGGGAGCAGAAATGCGTATGGGAACACACTGGTCAATCCGCTGGATCCGCCTGTTATGATGCCAAAATTGAGGCTCCTACTGCTGTTCAGCAATGCCATACTAAACCTTGCAAAACCTGTGAGTCCTCGCGCACTCTACTAATTTCCTAACTATTCAATCTTTGACAAAATCATCTTAGCGTATTTTATGTCTTTAAGACCAAGTGCCTTGTATTTTTAATTGATTAATGAACATAATGCCATGATTTCTAAAAAACTTCGACGATACAGACCAGGAATGTGTTTGTCTGACATTAAATAGCATAAGAAAACCCATAATTTACATCATTTTCCACTCTGTGCAACGTTTTCCTCAGATGTGCATTGTGGACTCTCAATCCTCTTGCTGACATGGATCACATCCATGCAACGTTGAATTAAACCATTTCTAAAACTTGGACGAATGCCCCTCCTGATACTTATGTTCTCTACTAAAAAGTAGATTATGGCAGTTGCAGCACAGTTAAAATAGCAGTGTTGACGATTAAAATGATAGGATAAGGAAAAGTGACTTTCACCTTGGATGTGCTACCACTAGTACATTTTGAACTAAAGGTAAGTGATCTTTTAAGAAAAAAAATTATTTTACCATCAAGTCCAGGAAGCCTTTGCAAATATTAATTGTAAGGATTTTGCTACAAATAATTAGCGGATCATCTTTATATGACTCATTACAATGAACATCATTTGGCATGATTGACCAGTTTGTGTACCTTTGGCATGAGGTGAAAAGGTGGTGACATGCTTGCCAAGGTGCACAGATCAAACAGAAGCGCGGCTAAGATTTCGCTTACGTTTGTAGTGTGTATCGACTTGTCGGACCAATGTCCAAAGTATCGACACTGGTGCTCCTTCCATACTTTCAAATACAACTGTTGTAAGACGTGTCGCGACTACGCGCTACAGTTGAAACAGTCAGCAAGCTGAGCACTCACCCACGATCTCTGCTTCCTTCGCTTCCCTCTAATATCTCCTCTTGCATACGCACAGCCGTCATGATCACCCTCATCAACGTTGACATCAACTTTCTTTGACAAGATCTCCTTCCACGGCCTGGCTATATCGGCCTACCTCTACTAAATCCCATGTCAGATACTCTATAACTTGTGTGTACATTACCCTCTCACAAGCATCCTTTTATCGACTGGTTGACAAACGACTCCAGAAACCCGACTACATCTATTTTTATTTTCTAATCAAATTGCCAGACACGGCTTGAATTGAACAACCAAAGTTATGTAGAGGGAAAAATTGATCATCGACCACCAATGCTTTTTTGACACCTTTACGGTTGTGAATCGGCTCGAGCATTACTTCAAGAGTATCATAAAACTCATCTGCATATATAAATATCATATGATATCATTTTCCTTACATTGTGCTAAGGGGAGCAAGGAAAAGTAGACAACTTCTATCGCAGCAAGCTGGATTGATGGCTAAGGATATACACGAAAGTCAGTAGGACAAGAATCAAATAAGCATCCCTTCCTCAGCGCGAGGTCTTGTTAGGTCAGCATTCAGTACATCTCCCTAATGGAAAAAAGCAGGACCAAGTTAAGCACCAACACTATATGCTAGGATACCGTACTTGTCGTTCAAAATACCTACTTGAAATTGCAGCGCAGTGTCTTTCAATTTTGGATTGCTACTGGGAAAACATGCAGCTCCTAGACTGCTAGTATCAGAGATAACAAAGGATGAAAGATTAATGCGTGTGTGTGGGATACGCCTTGATTGGAAACAATGAGGTGGCGTATCGGATGTGCCTTTGTTTCGGACTGCACGGATTACTCTTTCATCGCAGGAGTGACTCATTAACATGATGAGGAGGGCTAGCGGATGTGGCGTGCATCGGACAAATCTCAATGGATGATTCAACTAGCAAATTAATATAATGAAGGGCAACAGAATTTGCCTATTCAAAATTCAATTTCGAATGAAACCCACAAAACTCTAACAAACTTCTAACAATTGTACAAAAACTGGATAATCTGTGGAATTTTATATGCCAATGTTATATTTGTATGGAGGTCCCGTTCACTTTAAAAAATCCCAAGACTAACGAAATGGCTGCTAATGATACAAATTTAAAAATTGTTTTTGGGAAATGATAACTTTTACCCTGTAAGGGAAGTACAAAATGAGAACAGTTCAACAAATAACGCAAAAGCCTATTCAAAGCTTGCAAAAACACGGTTTTCCAAGTCAAAGAGATCCTAAGTAGACAAATGAATCGAAACCCCACGTATTTCAGGCTAAACAGCAGCCACAATGTAAAATCAGTTTTAAGATGTTTCGCAATCCCTAAGGTGGATTTTAGAGCTCCAAAATAAACATGAGTAGGTGGACTTTTTAGCCTTTACAGGCTGGATTCCCATGACCGAAGTAAATGTTGCCATGATGACGATGTTTCTGCAGGAAAGATTAACTTAACAGAAAAGCCAATTATAAACCAGACTGCTAGGACGATATTGTTTCTGAAAGGGGTCAAATTGTGATTCGAGCAAATTGCCACAAACAACGTCCCCTCATTCTGGTCATTTTGGGAGAGCAGGCTCTAAAGCAACTTTTGGGAGGGTTAGCCTTCAGTTTTAAAATCAAGTAATGTTCGTGCAGCTCTGATTAAGTGCTGTCTGTAGAGTTGATACGGATTTAAATAAGTAATGACACAGAATCTGGCTAACTTTTGTTGATGTTAACTAATACAAACTCAAGTACCGTTAGTTACGCAATCTTGCAGTAGTTACTGAACTATACTACTCTTCACTTCACCCTTTATCCACCCAAAAAGTGATGACGTGTTAAAAGATGACATGATGCATTGGATAGGGATGAACAAAGGGAAATAAATCATGATTTAAGTTTATTTAGGGCGTTGTTTCGCTTTGGATGGCTGATGATATGCTACTCGTCACGACTGCCTTCTCCTAAGCGGCACATTTGGATAAAGACGTGTTGCAGCAACAGCAGTAGTAGTAGTAGTAGTTAATTTGCGCCAACTCCATTCAGTGCTTCTAAATCTTCTGATGGGTGCTGAAATTTTATGCAATTCCTTAAATATACCACCCGTGTTATTGCCAGTACGGGAGTGCGGAACACATTCTGATCATTCTAACTTGTTTGTTTACCGAGAGGACAAGCAAGTCCCTTTGGATCTTTACTCCGAGCCTCATATTAATAATGATTAAGTTGCTAGTAAAATGACTTTTTGCCAAAATCAGTGTAAAAATTGGAAATTCTGATGTTTACTCATACCGAATTATTTACTATCGTGTAACATCCTGCAAGAGCACGAAAAACATCCGACTGACGAAAATACAAGTCGTCTTGTAAATACTGTGGAATTCGTGAACGTTTGATTTTGGTGTTTGCGATTCGGTGACTACAAATCCCTTGACGAATTATGAAATGTTGTTACACTCATCTCAATTGAAAGATCTGCTTCTCATGGAACTCGGCCTACGTACACATCTGCACCAGCCGCTATGCAAATGTTTGGCTACCCATCTTTCTAACTTGCTTAAAACATTGCATAAGCGGCTAAACGTTAGCATTCTTCAATCTACTCTTTCTTTATGTTTGACATTTTAGCAAATATTGCTGCTACAGTTCGACTAAATTACGCAATATTCCATATTTTGACCAAATTTGTTGCAGTTGTTCTAGCAGGTGAAGGGAATTTTAACCGCTTTTCACATTCTTTGGGTGGACAAGCAAACAAGGACACCAGTGAGTAGAATGACTCAAGATTACTCTTTCCTTTAGTCATTTGCGATGCTTGCTTCACAAAGGAACCCAATATGCATTATTGCGGCTTTAAGGTGCATCAGTAAACACTGGCTTTATTTACAGAACAGCTTCAATGTTTGGGCAAAAAAACGTTTGGTTCACAGAAGGATGGTAGACCTATACTCTTGGTCGATATGGACAAAGGTAACAAAGACTTTAGGCAAGTTTTGTCTTTTTAAAGGTTAATCGGATTTGATGCCAAATAAGCAGAAGCACAGGAATACTTGACATTTCGGTGTGCGATTTCAGGTTGATGCCAGTTAAGGAGAATAGGATAAGAAGTCAATCGGTTTGCTTGGCTGGGTGATTAGTCTTCCTTCTGATGATTTTTATCAAATCGACGTTCGCCTCTTCAGACGTCAATTTGAACATACCTATGTAACTATTGCTCCTTACTGACTGGACCGACATGGATAGCTTATTGTCTTGATATTGCGAGTCATTCGTCAGCCTATGCATAAAAACAGGTGAATTTTTATGCTGTTCGTCGATAACTAGAATCATTAACTGATTATTTTGGTTTAGGAACCGTCTGGATAATTGTAAGTTAATAGGACATATTCTTTCACGGTATTACGATGAGTTAATTCTTATGAACATATTCAGCTGTCCAACCTGTGTCGTTGTAGTCGAAAGCTCAAAGATGATGGAAAAAGTAACCGCCTAAAAACCTTCCAAACCAACTTTCTTTTAATCAAACTAAGTCGCAACGAATTCAAGTCGATACGCGCAGATTGTGCCGCCAAAAGCGACAAGTGATGTGAGTTTAGAAATACCAAACAATAATATGAAAGAAAATCCTACTTTCTCACATTGATCTATCAAATTCGTCTGATTCTTTGGCTAAAACTTCACATCGCTTTGATCTCTTCACCCCTTACTACACATA